TCAGTAATTAGCATCTTTTTCACATTTTCAGTACTCCTCTTGTCGACATGGTTTGGAAAATTCAACTTTCTGGGATAATGGAGTTGACAAAACAAGCGTAAATTTCACTTCATAAAAAATAAAGGTTTTTTAATTTATATTTTTGAAAAAAAATTTTGTTATATCTCTTGAATATCACTCATATAATGTTTCAAATCAATAAAAACACATTATTTTAACTTTATTTTCACACTTCATGAATAAAATAAAATAAAATTTTTATTGACTGAGATATCATTTCAATGATATTTTAAAAATAAAATAAAATTTTTTACTTTTAAGAGTCTAAAAAAATAAAAATAAAAATATTTAATTTATTAATATCTAATTAAATTCATTTACATAATATTAACATTAAAATTAATATTTATTTTTATATTTTTATATAAATTTATTATAAAGATATATCTTTAAGGTATAAAAAGATGTAATTAAGGTTAAAAAAATCTAAAAAATAGAGAAGTGTAATGGTTCAGGCGGCGCGTGAAACTTGTGTTTGGAAATTTTAAAGCTGTCTCGTGGAGTTCGGTTCCCACCTAATAGTCAGCTCTGGCGTTAAGAACACAAAATTGTTGCCAGCTCTTTTTTATTTATTTATTTATTTTACCGAAAAGGAAAAAAAAAACGGTGGAGATCATAACGGTCATAGTGGGCCCCACACTTTTTTTTCTCACGTGAAACGAAGGCCTTTGAGCACTCGATGAGTGTAAAACGATGGTCAAAGTGTGGAACATGTTGACCAATTATTCGCTTGTTAGCTTAATATACTCAAAGGAGGAAGATTATTTGAATTAAGGGTGGGTAAAAGAATTTGTAATAGAAAAAAATTTTGAAAACCAATAAAATTGTTATTGATAAGTAGGATTTGACTGAATTTTAAATTTCTTTAAAAATTATAAAAATGTTAAAGTTATAATGTCACACTATATTATACATTATAACTTTATAATATTACGTATTATTATATAATTAATTTTTTTATATAGGTGAATTGAATAAAGGTTGAAATAGAAATTAATTCATTAAAAACATCTTTAAAAAAAAAGTGGGCAACTAAAAAAAACCAAACTTATTAAAGTTAAATAGAGAAAATAGCTTATTTGGTTTGAATGGAGTTAAAAATAGAGAATTATTTTATTTGGATAACAAAAATATAGAAAAGAAGGGATGAATTTTTTTCTTATTTTACTTCAATTTCTTTTTGTTGTCTCCAAAATCTCCCTTTCTAATTGTATGGTAAATAAGACTGTGAAGGCGTGCAACTCATTTTGCTCAAAATGAGAAAAAGGGATTTCCAGTGACTCTCACTACTTTTAAGCGTAGAACTCAGCTACGAGTCAATAGAAGAGCACCAATTAAATAAATTATGAGATACGTCCTGATTAGACGATTATCATAGAAACGAAGGTACATTCTTGCATAAAGGTTCATAAATAATTGCCCTGAAAAAACATCGAGGACTTCCCACAACTAGGGCCAAAATGTTAGTTTCCTAATCAAAATAAAAGAGAAAAATAAAGGAAAAGGGAAAAAAGACAGTGCACGGCGAGAAAACTAAATTGTAGAAAGAAAGCCTGATGCCGCCACGAAGACATGAAAACGTAAAAAATGAAATAAAAACTGAAGCATAAAACTAAACTTAAAAGAAGTTAGAAAGATGAATTTGGAGCAAATTGTAGTAAATTGAATTGCAGAAAACTAAATACATCAAGTGAAGATGTTCACAATGAAATAACAAAAACTAGAGTTAAAACTAGTGACAGTGTTGAATTAAAAACTTAACTAGGAAAGTTGTTTGAGAAAGTTGGATCTAAAATAAGACATTGCTTGTAAAACTAAAATTTAGATAGCACTGGGCTAGTTGTGTGAGAGGTTGGTCTTTTCGCTTTGTTTCTTCTTTGCATACTTATAGCAATTAACACTCCTTGGCAGCATATTTGGGGATCTACGGCAGCAATCTTGAAAAACCAATGGCAGCGTGATATCTGAAACAAATCGATTAATCTGTTTGTGTTGCCAATTATCCTCTTGAAAGTTCACAACAAGCAAATGACTTTGCTGCCATTGTGGAAATAACCACTGAACCTTATCTGGAGAGATTTACACCAACAACTTTTAATCAATAAAATACCTACCAACATGGATGACACATGGCACCATTCTATTTTTTGCAAAAATGGGTGTAAACACTTTTATATTTTAATCTAACTAAATGAGGGGAGGAGAGGAGAGGAAAATAGAAAGAAAATGATATCCTTTCATATATCTCATCTCTTCTCCTCTGCTTTTCCCTTCT